ATCGGCAGATCACACTAACAAAAAATCGGAAATCGGAATCGGCCAAGAAAATTGCAATTGGTGCATCTCTAAAAAAAAAATATATATAAATAATATAAAATAAATAATAATTATAATAATATATATGCATGAATGAATCATTCACAACAAGATCATTAATATGCATTTAGAAAACAGAAAGGGTGAATTTCGATTTCATGCTGACTTTAACACATTCTGTGGTATCTGTGTCTCATCCAGATTTGGAGTCTGTGAACATCTCAACAAACAACGCTTAAACCACAAACGCGTTTACAGCCACTGCTCTGCAACAAAACAAACCACCAAGTGTTGACCTGTCATTTGAACAAGTTAATCAGCTAACTGATAATCAGATTTTTTTTTTTTTTTTTTAAATCAATTTTATCAAGAGGGATGAGTGAGAGGATATTTTAAAAAAGTCACAATGGGAACAAAACCTCTCCAAAACTCAAAGAGTCAACGTGGCAGCTTGCTTGTTCGCGCACTAGCATTACCGTGCCATGCTTGGCCACAGTAACGGCAGCACAACAGTTACACGTCCTGTGTTCCACTCCACTGTCCCTCGGCCAGTCCCTCTCTTTACTAGGGCTGGGTATCGTTCAAAAATGTTTGATAACGATACCGATATCTTGACTTCGATACCGGTTCCTGAACGATACTTTTTTCGATACCAATTTTATGAAATCAATTTTAACAAGATTACATTATCTAAAAAAAAGAAACTTTGGTTTTATTTTTCAGCTTGATGCTTATACAATCTCAAAGACTCATCCCCTGAGCTACTGCACAAAGGAACAAAGTGTAACCAACACAATAAATCAGTGCAAATAGTTTTAATAAAGCTCAAATAGTCTTCAGTTTACACATCTGTTAGGCATTTACACGAGTGCGTGTTCGTTTTAAAACGCAGCTCAGACAGAATCATGATTTCTATTTATTTACCACTGATTTACTGATGAGCATTAGCAGCTTCCAGCGCTGTCTGCCTGTGCTCTCTCTTCCATGACCGCTGCTCTGACTCAGAGTCAGAGGTAATAACATATTTAATTCCACATTACGTCATTTTCGTCATCAGGAGGGCTCGCGGACAGCCGTGCACCCTGTCCGCGTGCAGGCAATTTTTTGAGACCGCGCGGACGGTCCGCGTACAACAGCGCATGCGCGAGGTGACAGTTGAGACAGAGCGCAAGTCAAACTGCGCCTGTGTCGAGCTCGTCCGTCCGCACTCATCCGCGGTTGAGTACACTTTGAAAGCTTTGCGGACACGGCTGAGCGCGAGACGGAACGGAACGCGGAAAGTGAAGTATACCCGGGCCTTTATTGGCTCACTGACGCTGATGAGATTAACCCTTCAAGTATCGAAATTTGGTACCGAACGACGAGACGTTTTTCGATACTCGATGGTATCGAGGCAATTCGGTCGGTGCCTAAAAAGTATCGAACTCGATACCCAGCCCTACTCTTTACAGGCACACACTGTATCTTTCCTGATGGCAAGCCTAATTAAGCTGCAAGTGGTGCTGCAAACAAAACTGGGTTCTTCTGCAGGGTCAAAATAGAGAGAGGTATTTTATAATTAACAACCAGATGAACGACCATCCAGCATTGCTTTGGAAGTCAGCTTTGAATTTAGAGTTCTTCACAAAACACTAAATGCAAATCGACCTGGGTCTGTCGCCTTGAACAGAACAGCACAAAGTCTGGGCTGTAAGTGTGAATGATAACTTTTTTTTTTTTTTCACCCTATGCGGTTATGAACATGCTCGCTGTGAACTTCTGCTTTAATGGCAGTCTATGTGCTCTGCACCCTAATTAACAAGTCTGAAAAATGTTGAAAATGTATTCAAGGGTTTCTGTGTGCTAATCGGCATTTAGACATGCCAGAAGTTAACACTCGCCAACAACAAAAGTTGGAAAGTGACTAAAACATGCTACCCTCAATCTCATCAGAGTACGTTTCACACTCATACACTAACCAGACATGAGGGGTATGTGGTTGGAAATAAAATGCTGGAAGGTACTTTCCCTTTGTGTGTCCTATTATGAACCCACTGAGAGAAAACAAATTGGGCTCTTAACGCATTGTGTATAGGGGTGCAAAATTGAAAGGGGAAGGGCACATATAAATATTTAGATATGCATTAAAAAAATTGTCTAACAGATACTTTTTTCCAAGCATGCCATGTGTAATCTGCATTTGTAATCTTTAAGGCTGATAATTACAATACTAGAACGGCCATCAGTTGTGAAACATATATAGGTGCACAAGTCCAAACTTTATGTAATTTCCAGCCAGCAAAACCGACACACATCTGCACCTGGTTTCACATTCAGCACTCTGTTATTCTTGTTTCAAGCATGAATTTACAGAGTATTTGGTGTATTTACATGCAATAAAAGGATACCACATGTAAGAGAAGTCGCAGCTCATGTGTGTATGTGACAGAGCGTACTTTAATAATGCTGATTTTCTGCAGTAAACTACAGGCTGTGGTATAAACTCACACTAATGGCGTTAGCCAGCAAGCTACTTGCTGTTAATTCATAGGAGGAAAACTATTTAACCGGAAACCACATGCATAAACTAAATTTCTCGGCTACGCAGAGATGTAAATCAACCGCAAAGGAGAGCATCTGTATTATTACTATATAGTGCACAATACGACGGGAGAGAGTCTAAAAAGGAAAGCGCCGTTAGCTGAATGTTTCACCTTTGCATTCAAACCCGCGTCGCCATCTTGAACATAAGCGCTGAGCTCCCACTAGCCTGCGTGTAATTCAACTCAAAGGGGCCAAAATCTTCACATTAAATAATACACTCACCTCATGTCCTTAGAGACACTCCAATAAGCGCTGAAAGGTGAGTCTGTGCGATTCAAACGTGCGGTAATGTAATTCGTCGGCAGACTGCGCGAACACTCGGCACACTTCAAACACAGGCTAGTTATTTGTCCTCACTGAATCGTGGATATAAATTCAAGTCGCTTTCCATATGATTCTACGCCAGAAATTAATATGCGTCACAAGTGAACCGGTTTCTTCTTGCTGAATGCCCGGTGGCTTGCATTTTGTGCTGCTCTGGTGGTGCACCTGAGGAGACGAAGTGAAAGAGATTTTCCTCAAGCAAACAGGATGAAACGGTGTGACGTTCAAACTCTCCCCACAGGCGGCCTTCACCCCACCCAAAACTCAGTCTCCGTATATTACTACTGTATACCAGGATTACAGGAAAGAGGCGTTTTATAAAAAAAAAAAAGCATCTTTTAGAAAAGAACTGATTCCCGTATTGTTTTGCATATGCTTCCGCCTTTGAAATTATTCCAACTACGATATTTGTTAAAGATCATTTGATCAACTCTGTCATGCAATTGTGCCTTTTTTGGGACATCAAAATGATATGCTGTATATAGGTTGGAAATAGAAATAATATTAAAGTCTCCTACAATAACACATTCTTTTTTTGTGTGAACAATTCGCTCTGCAGGTCTATAGGAACCACTGGTCAGGAAACGAGGTTCCACACGGACACTTTCATGGCGCGGTCGAGATGTTTGTTTTCGTTACCATCATACTTGTCTTTGTGGCTTACACTATTTCTATTAAGTTTGTGTATTACAGATATCGTCAGTTATGGCCACACTTACGGAATAAAATATCCACCCCTTCATACACCGTTGGAAACGCGAGTTTTTGTCCAACACAAGTGAGGTCCAGCGAGACTCGAGCTCTGTTAGTCACTGCACATCCAGATGATGAATGCATGTTCTTTGCACCTACAGTCTTAAAACTTGTTGAATCACACGCAGCTCTTTATTTGTTATGTTTGTCGACAGGTAGGTTTACTATTCCGTAAATAAATCATATTCATAACATAACCTGAATCTTTTTTCAGTTTTAATGAAAACTTTGACCTTGCAAATGCGTGTTGTTATAATGCACAAATACTGTACTTTATGTGTTGAACTGATTGAATAAAGAATTTTGAACTTCTGCTCAAGTATTTGAGATGCTTGTATAATGTAAAAGAGACACTTAAAATGTTTCTGCAATGCTCAGGCGATTACAACAATCAAGGACTCCAGCGCAAAAGGGAACTGCTGGACAGCTGTGCAGTTCTAGGAATCCCATCCAACCATGTTACCATCATAGATGACAAGTAAGGCCAGCACACAGGACACACAATTTTCACCCCAAAATGTAAAAGCCTGTCATCATTTACTCACCCACATGCTGATCTAAACCTGTAATTGTAATCATTGTATGGAAAAAAAATTAATGTTCACTGGAACTGTCCCTAATATTCTGCTCTGTCCCTAATATTAAGCTCTTTTTTGTATACCACAGAAGAAAGAACTTAATATTAAATAAATTCATAAGTATGAAACAAAATGAGGGTGTGTTTTTGGAAATATATAACATTTTAACATCTTCCTCTGCAAGCATCTGAAGAACATTGAAAATCCAATAATTAAGAAAAATACAGTAAAACAGTAATATTGTGAAATATAATTATGATTTAAAATAAATTCTTTCTATTTTAATGTATTTTAAAATGAAAAATGTTCCTGAATTTTCAGCAGCCATTACTCCTTAAGTGTCACATGATGCTTCAGAAATCATTCTAATATGCTGATTTGGTGATCAAGAAACATTTTTTATTATCAATGTTGAAAACAGTTTTTGTTGCTTAATATTTTTGTGGAAATCATGATACACTACCGTAGAAGTTTGGGGTAAGTATGGAAGAAATAAGTAAGAAAGAAATACTCTTATTCTGCTAGGACGCATTAAATTTATCAAAAGTGACAAAAGATTTATTATTCAAATAAATGCTGTTCTTTTGAACTTTACTCATCAAAGATTCCTGAAAAAAATGCATCATGGTTTCCACAAAAACATTAAACAGCAGCATGTGTGCGTACAAATATATATAAGTATGTTGATGATTAACAGGTTTTCTTCCACAATGCAGTTGCTTTTAATGAATGAATATGATAAAGACCTCACTTGATGGGTAAGATGCGCAGACCTGCCAAGCTCAATCTTAAGCATAACTCCACTAAGATAATAAAGATTGTGTCAATCCATAAGTTCCCAACACTGACAATAAGCCCTTCTCTACTCTTGGAGGTTTGTCCTCAGAAAATAAACATTTAGGTCCAGTTCGGCCATCCCCCGAGGCTACAGCTGCAGCGAGGACACCCATTAAGGGTGTACTATGCTGGGTCTGGCCCCTCCTCTTCTCCCTTGGCTGCCCTGTGAGCAAACAGTGGCCAGCCTACAAATGGAACACCTCCATTCTGGTCACAACAGAGGCACAGACAGCTCAAGCTGATGTATGGGTGCTCGCTCTGTCACCGGAGGACATAAATGACCAGGCTGGGAGACTAAAGAGCTCTATGCTGACACAGCCTGAAGAAAAGAGTCCATGGGGCAGGATTGTCAAAAATAGTCATTGTGATGCCACAATATCAGTTTGATGATGTTGTAAACTCCTTCACATCTGTGTGGTGTTATCTTAGTCACGGTTGAATTTTCAGTGTTTTCCTGAATCATCAGCTCCCTCTAATAACTATCAACTATATTCCAGATTTCCAAAATACTGACCACCCAAAAAGGTTTCTCGCTACCCACATATTCCATCATTGCTTAGCTGTGCCAGAGTCTGGCTGAGCTGCTTATCACCAGCAGTAGTCTTAAAGAAACACGCATCAGTAATATGTAGTTTATGTGTAATATAAAGCTTGGGGTGACTTTAAGACTCTTAATGTTTTTATTTAAGACCGTTCTCCTAATACTTTAAAACGCTTAATGTTTTTTTTAATTCTATTTCAAAGAAATGCTGTTCTTTTGAACTTTATTCTTCAAAGAATACTGGAAAGAATCATAGTATCATAGTTTCCACAAAAATATTAAGGAGCACAACTGTTTTCAACATTAATAATAGTAATAAATGTATCTTGAGCATTAAATCAGCATCTTAGAATGATTTCTAAAGAATCATGTGACACTGTAGACTGGAGTAATGGCTAAATATATTAAAATAGAAAAGGTTATTTTAAGTCCTGCTGTCAGCAGCACTGACCTCTGTTGTACAGACAGTTCTGAACACACACACACTCAACTGAGTAGACAAAGGTTACATAAGTGCACATAGTTAGAGTGACAAAGTCTTGTGGACTTTAGTCTCAGTCTCAGACAGCATGGCCACAGACCGCTCACTTTCGTACATTGTATGCAGAACTGGAAAAAACTGGTTGAAGTCTGCAATTTATCAGTCCACCAGGAAACAAAGTTGTTTTTACAAGGCGCTTATTTTGGTCGCTGGATTTACAAAGTTACAAAGTTTACAAAGAGCCTGTCTTATTTTGATCAACTCTACAGCACAATATATCTGGACCAAATGTTGCAACTTGCCATATATACATGTTTGGCATATTTCAAGCAAACTTTCTGTTAATTTTGTGTGCCTGAATTAAAAGTGCCTGTTTACAGATCAACAGACTCCTACCAGGGCAGACAAGAATCTAGAGCACACTTATGAAATCAGGTCAGAAGCCGTGGAAGACATCAAGAACCAAGACAGACTGAAGATGTTCTGAAATATTTTGTTGCAGCTCTTTTCAATAAAATGTAGTGACCAGGGGCCGCAAAGCTCAAAAAAGCACTACTGATCAATCATAATCTTCTGAAATTATCAGTACATTAAAGGGATAGTTCACTCAAAAATGAAAATTCTGTCATTAATTACTCAACCTGATGTTGTTACAAACCCGTAAGACCTTCATTCATCTTCGGAACACAAAGAAAACTAAAATAATGACTTTATTCAACAATTCTTAAGTCGTTATTTTTGTTTTCTTTGCACACAAAAAGTATTCTAGTAGCTTCATAAAATTAAGGTTGAACCACTGATGTCACGTGGACTATTTTAATGATATCTTTACTACTTTTCTGGGCCTTGAAAGTTTCAGTTGCATTGCTGTCTATGCAGAGTCAGAAAGCTCTCGGATTTAATCAAAAATATCTTAATTTGTGTTCCGAAAATGAACGAAGGTCTTACGGGTTTGGAATGACATGAGGGTGAGTATATAGGGAACCCTATCAATTGGTATTAAAGGTTAAAATGAACAACAACACTATTATATTCAATGCTATTTATTTTTTACATTCAAATAAAAACGTTTATATACAACACGATTGCACATTAGGTAGTTTTCATAAAAACTTGGCAAATTTATTTGAACATGCATATATAATTAACAGTACATAAGCTCCCTCTAGTGTTTTTATAGCTACCTAACGAACTGGATAACTTTCCTGAGGTAACGTAAATGCAACGTTAAGTGACATTGTTCAGAAGCTGTTTTATTTGACATTTTTCTTTCAGCTGAAACACTGATTAAGTGATTATATAAGACATGATACATTTTGGTAAGCTATACTGTATCTTTCAACATACCTTCTGATGTTCATTCATGTTTATTTTTCGCTATAACTTATTAAAGTGGAAGAGACTCGCGCTGCTGCTTGAACTGAAGCTGCTACAGCTATCTGTCACGCCACTTTTAAGAGCATCAAAACGGTATTTATTGTTTGACTTTGTGATAAAACGTACAGGATTTGAAAGCTGGGACTTTGTTTATTTGGTTCAGAAGTAACAAAGCTCTTTGTGATAATTGGATTGGAGGTGCATTACAAATAATGTTTTGTGAAAGTAAAAACGCGGACCTGGCAACCCTGGCTTGAACTACAGGTGAGTCATAGTGTCAAATATTTAATGACGTTAATGCCTTATTACTCTTTTAACATGGACAGCCATAAATTTAACACAAGAAACATTTTCTTCCCGCAAGTTGCTGTCTGGTTGATCAAAAATGACAATAAAGACTTTCATTGTTGCAAAAGACTTCCATTTAAAATTGACTTTCTATTCATCAAACATTTCTACAAAAATTAAGCAGTACTTAATAATAATACATTTTATGAATTAAATGTTTCTTGAGCACCAAATCAAATTAGATTGATTTCTGAAGGATCATGATTCCCAAGACTGGAGTTCGCTGCTGAAAATTCAGCTTTGTTGTTGTCACAGGAATAAATTTCGAACGAAACTGTATTGTGTTTTTAATATAGTTTTGGTCAATATTAGGTATTTATCAACATATTTTATATTATTATAATATTATTTGTTTATGCTTATTTCTGCCTGTTATTGGATTACTTTTGTTGTCATCTAGTGATAACCTAACAGGAACATAATGAGTTTCTGTAAATAGTTATCTGTCATTCGGTATGTTATAATGTTGTGATAGCTACATTTGCTTAAGCATCATAACGTTGATTTGACATTGACTAATCTGTCAATTTTACTTTGTGTTTTTTTTTTTTTTTTTACAATTGATTTTTGATCATCTCATCAATATCAGGTAGAATTGTAATCAGTGCATCCCTACCCTAAACATGTGAAGAAAATTAACAGGTTGGACACTGTATGTTGATCAGACAGCCTCTTCCTGTTTAAGCTGGTGTTTTTTAGCCAGAATTAGCTGCAGAGTGGATCAGACTTTATGCCAACTCTCAAAGGTCTGAAATGTGAGACAGTAAATCTTTCAATTTTTCTTTGTGTTTTTTTTTTTTTTTTTTACAATTGATTTTTGATCATCTCATCAATATCAGGTAGAATTGTAATCAGTGCATCCCTACCCTAAACATGTGAAGAAAATTAACAGGTTGGACACTGTATGTTGATCAGACAGCCTCTTCCTGTTTAAGCTGGTGTTTTTTAGCCAGAATTAGCTGCAGAGTGGATCAGACTTTATGCCAACTCTCAAAGGTCTGAAATGTGAGACAGTAGACCTCATGAACTTGTGGTTATCATCTCTAATTATATTATCTGCATAGACTTGTTTGCTGGCAATTTGAAGTTGTGTTTCTGATTCATTGAATTGTTACGACATGCATTGCACAGCATATGTGAATGTGTGTGATATCCATTTCATTTTACACTCTGATTGTAAAGTTCTGTTGTATTTTAACTTGTGCCATCTCAGAGTGTGTCCTTGTGGGCACTGAATGGGTCGTGTGACCCTCTTCTCAGAGCTGCTTTGCTCTCTCCAGTGCACAGCTGCACTGACTGCCTACACTCTGACCAAG